ATTGATTAGTTAAAATTGTTGGGAAAAATAAAAAGATTCAAGTTTTTCAAGTTTTGTTCTAAACATTTGTGAACCGGCGGCCTTTCGGTATATAAACAGCGCCAAATGTTGAATCATTGATGAGAATTTATTTGTTCAAAAAAAAAAAATTCAAAGCAAAACAAAACATATATTATTTGCCAAGCAATACCAATATGACTAGGCAGGATCCGCTACCAGCTAAAATGCATAGAGACGTCGAAAAAAGATTAAAACATCTTACTAAGAATATCCAAAAAGGCTGTTTTACTTAGAAGTCGTGCCTTTATCGTCATCTTTATCGTCATCAGATCGCAAATGATTCCTAAGCTGAAATTTTATTAGATTATAAATGTCTTTTTGTCGCTGTGATAGCATATATCACATCTAGTTTAAATTTGAACTACTGTTAGCAAATTCCAGTAAGCCTTCGCTAATCGATGTTTTGAGAAAGCCATAGCATTAGCTCTAACTTTCGAGAAAAACCTCACTTTGTTTTGAAAAAGTAAAATTACTTGCTATGTACACACGAGGCCTAGTGTTAAGACTGAGCGCCAGGCTTCACAACTGTATATTCATTTTAGAGACCTATATATGTTGTTACAAACAAAGCTCAGTAAAAACAAAAAACAGAGACAAAGCTGTTTAAGGGTGCACAAAAGACGCATTAACATTTAAACCGATCATTTTCATAGTCTACTTAGTTGCTTTAGTATTTTTAAAGCACTCAGCCCTAGAAAAATTGCTTTTTGTAAACTTTAATCCTTAAATATAATATTTCCGCATTTAATTTTATCATCTTTTCTCGTCAAATTACATAAGCATGGCAACTGTTCTAAAAAAGGTATCCTTTTGGCAGTTTCTGGTAGCCTAGCCAATGCTAGTTTTTTAAGGCATCAATAGAGTTAAACGTTCTGTAAACAATTTTATACTTTCGGATTATTTTCAAGACGTCGTAGTTCTGTATATGCAAACAATACATCCATATATTGCTGGAAGTAGATTCAAAAAATTTTAAATTTTTGACGACATTCGATGACTTTAAATGTGCTTATGAAACAGAATTTTAAGTAATTCATATGAAAATACCATACGATACATATCCCATGAAAAGCCTCTAGGCTGGGTATGATATAAATATATGGTACTTACATTATATAATGCACATGTCATTAAAAAACCATACAATGCATACGCCTTGAATAAATTATAGGATAAATATGACATGAGAAAATCTTGAGAAAAGTTTATGATATGACTTGAAAGTCAAGTGTGATGCATGATATGAAACTATAATGTAATGCATATGACAAAAACCCAATACACTGGAAATGAACAGTAAATGCGTTGTATATTAAACGAAATCCAATACGTTGTTGCTGAAATGAAAATCAAACATGATGTATTTGTGATTAAAATCTTGTTGATAAGTTGCATATGACATAAAAATCCATAAAAAGCTATTTATATGATATCAAATTCCAATACGAACTGTACGACATAAAAATCAAATACGATTTATTTGACATTAAAATCCAGTAAAATTTATTTGACCTTAGAATCCAATATCAATTCGTCTGAAATCAAAATCTAATACGCTCCAATAAAAAAATTAGATGTTGTTTTATACCTGAATATCAATTCACGTGGTTTCTTATAAAGGAGCCACTTTATAAGAAACCTACATGTAGAAGGCAGTAAATAATAACCGTTGGACTAAATAAAGATAAAATATAAAGAAGCAGTTTCATTTTTGAACATTTTTATCATTGCAAATATTCAGAAATTAGGAAGCCAGTTCCTTTTGTTTATAGTCAAAAATTAGATCAATTATGTGTTACAAAGGTAGCTATCGAGTGTTTCATTGCGTAATTTTGAGTGTTTTACTTTTCTTTTTGATTGAGTTTCAACTATTTCATATTTCAGATGTCTTTGTAGTCAATCTTCTTTGTGTTTTCACCTGGTTTCTAGCTACAGTTAAGAATCTAATGACACTTGTAAAAAATACTAATGTACGATGTGCAATTTTCATGGTATCAATTGTGCAGTTAAGTTAAAGAACTATTTAGGAGCGTTGAGCACCAAAATTTGATAACAATATCTCCAAAAATTATATTTCAGATGTCTTTGTAGTCAATCCTCCTTGTGTTTTCACCTGGTTTCTAGCTACAGTGAAGAATCTAATGACACTTGTAAAAAATTAATATGTACGATGTGCAATTTGCATGGTATCAATTGTGCAGTTAAGTTAAAGAACTATTAAGGAGCGTTGAGCACCAAAATTTGATAACAATAGCTCCAAAAATTAAGGACTTCAAGAACTAGGCCACGAGCTAGCTTTCGTATAAAGAAAAGCATGAACGGCGCTTCTGACATGCAAATCCAATGATATGAAAATTATTTATATGACATGAAAATGTAAACCATTTACATGACATTAAATCTCGCAGAATTTCCGCCGTTGAACATTTCTTCATAGTTTATGTAAGAACTTTATTAAATCAATAAATTCTGGTTTTAAATTGAGCTTTAAAAGTCTAATTGAGTGAATGTTTTTGTGTCGTTGCTTCTTATGGGAAGCTTCTGTTTAGTATTTGAAAGTCTATTGTAAATTATATTTATCAGTGAATATACTTTACAGATAATCATTTCCTGTGTACAGATTGCAGATTCACAGTAGCATTGCTACCGTACCTGCCCACATCACGTCACCTCAACCTGCTTCCTTCAAAGTCAACTTTGCAGTTGGCAACGTTCTCCTTTTGTGCTTTTTTACTTTTAGATAAGATAACTATTTACAGTCTAACCGTCAGTTTTAAACATTCACTAAAAATTGTAAAAATGATGAAATATAAGATGCTTTTTTATCCAAAGCCGTATGAGTGTACTCCGTTGTTCGACGGAGATACGAAGTTGAAGGAAAAAGTACACAGCCTGCACTTGGAAGACAGCCGAAACGTTATGTGGATGGGATTGGCAGAACTTTTGAAAGCATTCGTTTGTCTTTATAACGACTTAATAACAGCAAAATTGAGTGCATATGGCTTCAGCACATCTGCCTTGCTTCTCGTCCATAGCTATTTCATCGATAGGAAGCAGTAGGTACAAGTTAAATTTTTAATTCAGGACATGAGTAGAAACTGCTCTAGATGTACTACAAGATGTCTTGGGTCCTTTCTGTTTACCATATATTGGTTAGACTGGAATCTATGGCAATTTTGTACAAGTAAAGAGCAAAGAAAATGTTAATGCACATCAAGAGCACGATGCCCTGAATCTGAATGGTTTCAAAATAATTTCGCTATAACGTTAATGCGTTTTCGTAACTTTTGCAAAAATGGAAGTACTGAATTGTCCATCAGAATAGGCGTATCCTGTTTGAAGGGAAATGCAGAGTAGGATCGTCTCGGCTTATGTTTCCATCAACCATTTTCTTTCAAAACAGTAATTGGTTTTAAATAGCTAACTAGCATTTGTGAATCAAAACAACACCAAGATAAAAAAAGGAATACAAAAAAACATATGTCAAACTTTTGTGGAACTTTCTGTGACCATCTTTCGATTGGTCGAAATGGTCAAAATGTCCCGCCTTTTTTGAAATTCAGTTTCGTGAACTCGGAAAACAACAGCTGTTAAAGAGGTCTTTTGTCTTTATCTCACTCTAGCCACTGCCTACTTTTTAAATGTAAGAAGCTTGAATCAAAGACCAACTCATATTCAGGAAAGGTCATTGCGCCACAAAGCGTACGCTAATGATTTTTTTCTTCATTTGTGGTAAACTCGTACCAAAGTGTCAATCCATGTACGAAGCGTAAAATTTCTTATGGTTGAGATCAAGTAAACAAAATCTGATCCAAATCCGCCTTAATTGCAGAACCTTTTAGAGAAATAATTATTACCTACAATCTAAGACATGGTAATAGACATGGTAATAAGACATGGTAATGGATGTTATAAACTCATTCGCAAATGAATTCACCGCAAAAATTGACGAATTCATCACAAATTTCACCGCAAAAATTGAAATAATCAAAACCTTCAACATTTCCAAAATGCCAATTAAATGTTTGACAGGAAAAATATGCAGTTGCAGACGCGGCAACGTATTCTTACAAGATAATCTTGAACTCAACGAGTTGGGTTTCTAAAATTATTGGCCTTTAATTTATTCAATCTTGTACGTTACAATTTCAGTTTTAATAGTTTCATTTCTTATTAGATTGTAACTTGGATAAAACGCAAATAGTAGGCCTTGATTAGCTGAAAGTAAGAAGAATTAGTTATTAGCCTACATAAATGACGATAATGATAACTTTCTATTTTCACAACTGTAATCCTTCTTGTTGCATCTGTATCACATATCAAAGTCGATCATCTATCATCTGCCAATGTTTCTCATAATACCAGTGTAAATTGTTACATATGTGTTGCAAAGAAGATTATAACATTCCTGGACTCAAAGTTTGTGTGCTTTGCTCCTTTGTTGAATAATGATTGATAAAGAAAAAATAACATCGCTGAACTATGCTGACATATGCTTTTGCAAACGTATCTTATGCTAGTAATTACAATCTATTTCTTGATATCATATTGTATCAAGTGTATTGATATCATGTGAAATATCATATTATAATTCATCTAGATCCTTGTACTATTATCTGTAGATTTAATATGCCTTCACTAACTATCTAGGCCAGAGCTGGGCATCTTACGGCCCGCGGGCCATACACGACCCTTATAAAGTCGCTATCCGGCCCTCGCGAGGGTGTCATCAATGAATGCATGAAATTTAAAAAGCATTTTCCTAGTTAATTTACTCATCAGTTCCATATATATATATATAAACATCTACGTAATAGATATAGCAAAGATATAAACATCAACCAGTAGAAGTTAAGATATAGCATAATCTAAGGAACATTGCTTATAAGAAAGTTGTCGTTGTCTCGGCTGCCTAACACAGTTCAGGTCTCTCATATGGCCCATGTAAAAAATGAACTGCCAGCCTTTGACCTAGGTTGCTGATTCATAACTTTGCAATGTAGGCTCGAAATGGTAGATTCGAGACATTTCAGAGACATAGTGTTTGATTTCCAATGCTCAACTTTGTTAAATAGCTGGCTGTTGGGTCTTGAGTAATTTTTTGTAACATTTTTTCCGAAACATGTAAGTATGGGTTTGTGTCACATATCAATGGCGATCATCACTTGATGCATGTATCGTTGTACACCGTCTTGAAAGGACCAGCCCCGGTATGTTGAATTTCTTAGCATCACTTTGGTTGAATATTATGAATATAAGGGTTAAAGCTACAGTGGAAAATTTTAAATATTTATCGATTTATAGTATGAAAATTTCAAGATTTTCGAAAACATACATTAGTCATCACAATTGGTACATGTGGCAAACCTCCACAAATTAATTTGCGGAAATGGACAGAGATGCTCCTCCACCTCAGAAAAACCCTTGTTCTATTGTAAGAATGGGGCTCCTATACCCAGTACTCAGAAGACGGAGCCGTTATAATGAACCTTCGCAAACCTACACAATTTGACTTACATAAGCCACGCAGCAGCACAATTCAACATAAGTGGATATTAAATTCCTCGATAAAAATTTTGCCAATTTTATCACAGGCATAGTCGGATAGTACAAATGTTAAAGTACAATAAAGTTTATTTTGAATTATCTTGAGTTCCAATAATCAAAATTTTGTCCAGAAGGAGGAAAAATTCAAATAAACAGGCAGTGATGATATCGTACTTTGACTCTATCATGTCAAGTCTACATGTAACCCATCTACTAACATACAGATATCATATTGCTAGCTCAACAGCGGCTACAACAGTTACTGCTAGGCCAGCTAACAACATTAAATATTTTCCTTTACAATACTAAATCTGAAAACATGTAAGTAGTCGTATTTAATGAATTAAATACTAAATCTGAAAACATAGTAGTGGAAGTATTCTATAACGTAATTTTTTCTATTTCACACAGAAGATGGAAATTGCAATAAAAAGATTTTTTGATATTTTATCAGTAAGATTATTAAAAAACAGCTTGAAACAGTAATCTATTTCTAAAATGTTAAAGATTTGTAAATAGGTACCGCGCACCATTCTAAAAATGGGTGGGCTGAAAAGGTGTGACCACGAATTTGTTAAGGCCGCGCCCTTTAGAAACGCCGGAAAACGCCCCTTTTAGAAAATGCTTGCTTCTTTCTACTTTATTTATAAACAGTCCGATTCAGAGAAGACATCAATTTCTATAAAAACAGATTTAATAAGGCAAGAGATCAAGAAAATGAACAAAATAGGGTTCCCAGTCAAAAAGAACTGCTACTTAAGATCTGTTAGAGTAATCTTTCCAAAGTTGCATTAGAGTAAACTTTCTAAAAAAAATCTAACCTATTATTTAAAAAAAATGGGGGGAGGGGAGGGGAGGGTTATCGCCCTTACTAGCCCGATGGCTGCGCGGTACCTGCCTGTAAATACCATGCAGCTTGTTTTAAGAGAGGCTGCAAATGAAATCTAAAAAGAAAGTAAATGATTTATTTCTACGTTACATACTTAAGTATTAGTGGATACACAATTTATATCTACAATATCAAAGGAAATGATCTAACCATTTTTTATACATGAGACGTAGGTCGAGTTTATGCATACGTCGCTTACATAGCAGATTTGCTATTCTTTGTCATAATCATTTTAATAGAGAAGTGACTTGCGTTCAAGTTGTGATCTTTAGAATATATTAAACTGATTTTATTCTTCAAAGACCATCTTGCAAGTTCTTGATGCACAAATTGTTTTAAGCAGCTAATTACTCACATAATGCGCACAGTACCATTTTCCAGTTAAGCACTGAAGATTATCTTGTTTATCATCAGAGAATCGTTTGATTTGTTTTTAGATATCCTTCACTAGGAAAATATTGGCCAGAGTGGCTCATACCTCATACCTGGCTTGTTGTACCGGTTGTAAGGTTAGAGAGGTTTCGATAAGATGGCAAGTCAAATAAGCATTGCCAATAGCAATACTGCATGAACTGATCAGATTTTTATAAATAAAACAACCTTGAGGTCAGGGGTGCCGTCCTACAAAGTTAGGAAGAGGGACTGTGCTGTAGGCAGATTCAAGAATCCACATCCATGACCACACCCTTTCCACACCCAATATATTTGCATTTATGTTCAAAACTCTCCGTTGTGTACAGTGATTGCTCAAACCATTCAGTGACACAAAAAGACTGAAAAGAGATTGCTCATTCACAAGAAATCTATAGTTCAATACAGGGTTGCCAACAAAGAATTCTTCTAACCAAATGTGAATTCACTTGTTTCTGAGTCCTCAAAAATTTCCTTGAATTTTAACAAGGGGGCAGAGCCTCCTGAGGCCCCACATGAGCCCTCTCGGCGGCACCACTGCTGGGGTTTGTGTTAAAATGTAACTTCAAGATCAACTGATGAATTTTGCATAAAATAAAAGGCCAGTCCTTAAATTATTGATAGTCTTATTAGCACAAAAGCCTTTATCAAAGTTTAGGATCATTTCGAGTATTTAGAAACTTTGATCATAGGCGCAAACTACCTGGGTTCTTGGGGGCTCGAGCTCCTGCACTTTCTACCTTGGGAATTTCGCAAGCCACCCCTGGTAGCCAGAACTTATACAAAAAAACACTTTATTCGTGTTGGAAGGGGCAAATTTCAATGTAATTTCAATAGTAGAAATTCTTACCATAACGAACTGAATTGGCGCATTTACTACTTTTGATTTTGAGATGGAATTGAAAGTCCATATTTTGCAAATGATATGAACTCCTTTTTATTCCAATATTTTTATTTCAAATGGTGAACTGACACCGAGAAAATCAACGATGAGCGCCATACCTTTGAAATTTCTGAATACGCTTTACACTCTTTTCGACATTAGCAATATTGTCCTGCACATTGATCACATCCTAAAAAAACACTCTTGGAAAGTATGGAAACATTTTTTAAGATTTGTTTTAGAGAAAGTAACAGCCAATGATCTTCATGAAAGTTTGAATAGATATGAGGACTAGAACCTACTATGCTAAATATTAAAGTTTCGTTACGATGTCATAACGCTTGTACCGGAGTTTCGTGATTTCTAAACACTAAATTTCAAAGCAAATAAAGAAACCATATACATAAATCAGATAGATCTCACACTAGGGTTACAAAAGCCCGAAAATTGATGATTCTTAAGGTTTAGCCTGTAGGTTATGACTTTCTGCAGCCAATCCGATCCAAATGAACAAATGTCAAAATGTCGTTTCGTGGGCTGCATCCTTGGCGTTAAGCACTTCTCTGTCTGTAGCCACAGACACTGAATAGCTGTAATCGGCATGGCTGGCACGTTGAAAGGGCTTGTCGAAGCTGTTTTTTGTGCATTTCATTGACAATTCTCTGAGAATCTTTCGAATTTCGTGGCGTACATCTTTGTTTAGCAGGCCATACAATATTGGATTCATCGCAGTACTAGAAAAGTTCAATGTCAGGACGATACATAAGGCCAAAGGAGAATGACAGGTACGAAGGACCATGCAGACAATTGTGTTGGTGATGTATGGAACCCAGGATATGAGGAAGAGGCCAACAAGAAGCATGATTCGTTTTGCAGCTTTGACATTACCACCAATAGTGATCAGGCTGGCCCTCCTTTTCTCGTTGCGTCTTGTCGACTTTCGCATTTTCAATGCGGCACTGTTGGCAATACGAAAAATCTCTATGTTGGCCGCCAAAATTATTATCAAGGGAAGAATGAAATTTGCTGTCACCATAAATACAGCGTACTGTATGGTGAAGTATAAGTTGCAGTTCTTGTCTACAGTAGTTGGCCGGTATACCCATCCCATGGCAGGCAAGCTGGCGACGATTATGACATAAACCCACTTGACGACTAATGCCCCAACAATGCGGTAGCGTGTCAGAATTTTCAGGTGGGTGAGAGGGTATCTTAGGGTGATGTAGCGCTCCAAGGTCAAAAGGGAAAGGCTTAGAGCGGCTGCTGGGAGGGACATGAAGAACATGACGCTGACAAACTCGCACGTGACAACATCGTGTAAGAACTTACGTCTTATAAGCCTATCAATGTCAATCGGCATGACAGTGACAGCAACAAGAATATCGCTTACAGTCAAATCCACGATAAATATGTGGGTCTTTGAGTGCAGTTTTCGAACAAATATTATGATAGCCATGAGAATGAAGTTCCCAATTATTGCTAGAACCGCCAAAAGTATAAGGAAGAATCCCAGGAAATGGATTGCCATGATGCTTATTTCTTCTGGCTTTTCTGTAGTGTTAGTTTTTCGTGAAGCTGTTGGTAGTGTGCTGATGGTTGACCAATGGGGAATGGCTGTAGATACGCTGCTTGGTAAAGCTGATAACTGCGTGGGGCCATTGCTTATGGTGAGCAGATTGAAGCTGAAATTTGTGAAGTTTGTGACCGTAGATAAAGCTGTTGAAATTGTTGGCATAATGCTGTGTAGGTAGCCCATTTTTCTTGAATCGAGCATGCGTTTGTTAATTCCGATGATATTTATGCCCCTTGAAAAGAAATGGAAAAGATACAAATACAAGTAAGTATTAAAGAAAAGACAAGGATATTCTTTAAACATTAATCGAACAATATTTGCTATAGGTTTCCTATCAAAGAAATGTTTAGGCTAAGAGAGGAATTCCATACTAACAAGAAAGCAGGTGTTAATGCAAGGAGAGTAGGATAATCCCATTTAGTAAAACCCTTTTTGCTTTTAGCAGCCTTGGATGAGATTCAAACTCGTTCTAGGAAATTCAAACTCATTCTAGGAAATTCAAACTCATTGAATTTTTAGAAATTTGTGTTTTCTTTGGATATAACACAATTCATTGAGAACGTCTCCCATGCCTTTATACACATTCATACGTCTTTCTGTAACTCTCCACATGAAATGCTAGAAAGCTTTCACAGCATCTTAAAGCTACGTTTAAAGGAAGTATTTTTACATCAATGTTAGCAGCTATGTTTATAGAGTATTGACAAATGCATTCAATTTTCTTGCAAAAAGGACTTTTGTGCTATCCATATCTGGCACCTTTTTGACTGGGACAGTTTTAGAGAATGGACAGATGCTGCTAGAATAAAACTTGCTTTAAAGATGTAAAAAGTTATTGTGCAACAGTTAAATGAAGCTCTGAAGTTTGGTCATATACAAACGCAAAAAGATTGCGCAATACCTAACACGATAGCATTAAAAATAAGTTAACCAGAAATTGAACGTTCGTTGACGATAGATTGATTGCAAAAATGTTTGTTTTTAAGAGTAATTACTTAAAAGGTCACCAGTTACAAATGATCACAGTAAGAGCGAATCTCGACTTAGCAACTTAGAACCGTTTTGCTCTATACACAAAAAGCGTAAAATGTGGAAAAGATGGTTACAAAGTATGATAATCATTTACGAGCTGAAAGGGAATGGCTCTGAGACAAATCGAAGTGACAAACGGTCATGATTGTATCTTTCACTGAAAACAATGTAAGCACGATGTTGCAAATCACTAGGCGATTTATACTTAGACCAGTACATACATATAACTTGTATCGATCTAAAGTCTCTTGGAAATCTATAAATTGAGCATGAGGTAAAGCATCAGAGAATATGAATCTAATGCTCTTGTTCGGAGTAAATCTTTTCCCATCTGCAACTTATAGCAATTTATTACAGTATTTTATTTCTTTTAATTATTAACAAGAAGCCGTGTGATGAACTCCGTCGGTCATTCAGTGCAATTCTCAATGTAATAGGGTATCACAAACTGGGTCTAATTTTGGTACCAGTGAACCATGTTTTCGATGAACTATCCTGTCGCTCTTCTTTATGAGTCTGATATATACCACGAACAAAATAATAATATCGTTTTAAGTCGCCGACCCCACTGTGACTTATCTTGAAATAATGACCATCTGCGTCGGGCATTAATTTTCTGATAGCAAATTGCTCTGTCTGACCTTGCTCAATTCCCCAACAAACGAGATTTCGGCAGTGTCACAGTTCAGTGACGTGATATTTCGCTAGTGATCGATTTGGTTGGACGGGTAATTACAGATGAACAATAGCGGTATTTAACAGCTTAGATCTTCCGCACGATAATCATTCAAACCCAAGTAAAATTCTATAAGACGTAATGTGAGAAGCGCTATCTACACGTCATGAGTAGGCCAGATAGCTGATAATGTATATATTTGAAACATCAGAGCCAGGTCGCAAAGCATTAAAATCAATGAACTGAATGGTAAACCCATATGAACTGCAAGGCTTAATAATCACCAACAATATCAAACGAGCTATCAAGTTATCCAATCTTAGGCGTTTTATCTTGAATTACTTAGCAAACCTTTGATCTAATCAACAACATACAAAAAAATCTGATCAAAAACAAAAAAATTGATTCATAAAGATGCCTATGTAGATGTTGTTTATCTTCTTTAGATTTTTGCTTTAGAATGGAGATACAGTAAAGTGAAGAAGTATTATTGCTACACAGTTTCAAGTCTCCACAAATCAAATTTAGAGATGAATCTTCATATAGGTTATGAGAAGTGTGAAAACAACTCATCAGCAAAGAGGATTATCCGACTCAAACGTATTACATTTGAATCGTAAGCTCACTTGATTGGATGTCCCAGGGAGTCTTAAAAATGCCTAGTGAACGGGCAAAGTAGACAATGGTTTGGAATTCTATCATGACCTGTTTCATTGGTCGTAGATAATTTTTAAGGCTAGCTCATGCAAAGCTGCTCCGCTCTGTACTAACTCGGTGATGTGAAACACCCTATACTTTATGTGAAACGAAGATCTTTAATCGAATTCCACACGATAAAGAATCTGTAGGAACAGTTTGACAGCCAGAACTTATGATCGATACGTTGTGATACTGTTTTGACCATCTTTCGTAACTAGATCTAATTTGAGTCGCCAATAGACACTTATCTATTGGAAAAGTAATCTTTTTTGAATCTGAGTTAATGATTTATCGTAATTTGCTGGCTACAGAAGCAGCCGTTATGGTTTCGAGTTTCAAAATATCATTGTGCTATGAGCTTGAAGATCTACCTTGGTAAAACCATGTAAAGATGGCCTTGAGCTGTTTTAGCTGGTATGAAAAGTCATCCAGCTGCAGGATGCCTTGATAATAAACCTATTTTCTAAAATTGAAGTTTTTTAATTATGCGCGTAAAAATTGGTCAGTGTGGGTAGGAGTTTCATTTTCTGACATGTAAGAATTATTCTAGATTGTTGATTAAAGCGTTGAATTTGATGTTGAAGTGTTCTTGTCAACATTCTGGGATTTCTGATAAGCTTTTTGTGTATATCATATTTGTATATCTCGTGAAAATGGTCTTTAGATAGACAAGAAGTTGGCCTGCTCTAGAAGAAAAAGCACTAGCTAATCAGCGTTGCAGCTCAATGGCTACTAAAAGCGAGCCGCACCGCATGGGTCACATAAGTAACATCTTGTGCGTAGCCAATTTTACATTTTAATCTATTCAAATCAGCTGCGAGAATCAATTAAAGATGATCAAACGAGTATCAATGAACATAAGCATCTTTAGCTATCTCTAGTGTACAGCAAACCTTTCAAAGAGTGAAATGTTTTTGCAACTGACAAAGTTGAGCAGACCAGAGCCATTCCATTGTCACGTGTGTGTAAGCAAGTTGATACAAAAACATCTGCTGCCTTCTTGTTGCTAGAAAGGAAGCCAATGGCGTAGAAAACCCCCCTGTAAAGTTAAACTGTTATTTTGCCGGAAAATTCCTGATCTGTCAGAAATATAACATGGCTGTCTTTTTATAAAAGTGTTGCACTCTGAGTGAAAAGATTTTTAAAGGTAAATAAAACGATTTCTGTCGTTGTTCTGAATCAGACTGGCCATCTCTTTCAATAAGGTATGATACTTAAAAATACTTTTTTAGAGGAGAGGACCGAAAAAAAGCTTCAAGAAATGGAACTTATGACACCAGTCTTTAAAAAATGGTAAGAGCTTTATTTCACATTGTAAAAGCTACTCCGGTATTATTTCAGTACCAAGGTCGTTATGCTTTGCTCGAATTTATGAAAAAGTAAAATGCATATGAAATTTTTGTCGGAAAATTTAAACTTTTTGCCCTTCTATAAATTTTTCTATCTACGTCACTGCCTGAAGCTATACTAAATTTAACGCGTAGGTACTGCATCAACTATGAACGTACGCTCGACATATTGACAAGTGAATTAAAAATAGTCTGAATTTTCAAGCTTCTTCCTCCGGAAAAAAATTATCACTTATTTTAGAAGATATTTGGCTGTTATGAAAGGTAGGCATCATCGAAAAATATATTGGCAAGGCCTATAAATTGCTTTTTCAATTTTGGCCTTTGCTTTTTTGCATTGAAGGTAGCAGTGTTTAATGCTATTTCAAGTGTTAGTGAAGGTATAAATAACAACATATTGAAATGAATTTTTTGGTTTACAAAGCAAAATAATTCACAGATTTTTACTGATGAATGCTAATTTTTTAGATCTTTGACTTTGACTTTAATTCTTTGACTTCTGGAAGTGAAAGAGTATGGATTGAGCAAGTGCATCTTGCGAGGCCTTGACAAGGGAAATGAAGGGTGGTGGTAGAAAAAGAGGGAGCTGATATCAAGCTGCCTTTTTCAGTCTAGGAAGAATAGCAAGAAAGCAAGAAGAAGGAAAAGAGTTACAGCATATATACGCTATGGAGGGAAGAGACGGTTTTAGGAAAACATTGGTCACAACTTTAGATGAGTTCTGGAACAAAATCACATGACTTGAGGGGAGAGGAAGGTTGTAGGGTGACTGCAATTGGAGCACATCAACCTTCAAGACATCTTGCAAGAGCTGCTTAGAAAGGTCTGCAATAAGTGGTAAAAAATCCTTCTCCTGGGAAGGCAAACTTACAAGATAGCAGAATGTCTGACGAGTATGCAGTAGTCCAAGACTGAGCAGGATTACTACCTAGAGTGGCATTTCTTTGTAACAGCTAAGCCCATTGTAACAGCTAAGTAGATTTCGTCAATCAATTCAGATTCCCTCACAGCTGGCTTATTCCCAACATCATGCAGCCTACTCAGGAAGCCTCGATTAATTTCACGGTGGTTTTTAAGGTAGGACAATACCAACAAAAAGGTGCAATATCATTCAAAACTTTTAGAAAATATAGCCTTTGGCTATAAATATAAGCTTAAGAATCAGATTTGCCTTGTAACTGGTTGATGAAAAATAGTCATATGTTTAGCCAATATTGAGTGGATCTATTAAAGAGAAACTAAGGTTGACAACGTGCAGTTGATAATTAAACTGAAGCAATGAAAACAAATAAATTGACGTTTGCTTAGGGCTTGAATAACTGATGTGATAATCAGCAAGCGATAAACGAAGAATTGTACATCAGTTTGACAAGCATGCAGAGTTAATCCGGTGTGCTGATATTTAAGAAAAAACTACACAAAATGCATTAAAACTTCAATCATGTGAATTAGTATTGATAATATCCTTTTGTATCACTTGTTATTTGGCCTTTTCTTCTTATTCAAGATAAGCCGTTAAAAGATATGTAGTTGGAAACTTCCACGGCGAACAAGAGTTGTGGTATTTATAAGGATATGAAAAGGAATTTGTGGCTCCCTGATACATCTCTAGAGTATCTGTTGTTTAATGTTGCATACTGTTAAAAAAATCCAACTTCACTTAAATCAAACAGCGACTAAAAGTGTTTAAGAAAGAACCATTAAGTAAAAGAGGTTGTTCGTATGTTGCTAGAATTTGAGAGAAAACAGCTTATTATCGTTTAAACTGCAAGCAAAACCAAAAAAATCTATTGGAAGAAGGATTCTTATCAAGTATTTCTTGTGAGCCAAGTTGTGCTGAACTGTTCGCAAAAAATTAATCTGAAATAATTTAGGCTCAATTATTTATAAAAACCACTTACGATGCTAACAGTGGAGCTTTTTATCAATCATTCATAAATTTTACGAATAGAAAATAAATTTTGTTTCTGCCATGTAATATAAACTTCATAGTTCAAGTTCTGTAAGTTGAATAGTGACAGCTGGTTGTGTATAAATCCTTAATAATTTGTCAATTCTTCTACTGTAAACATCAAAACCAAAAGTATCACAGATTAAAGGCCCAAATACTGATGTTTGAATGTAATTATTTAAATGATAATCAAATGGAATTTTGCATGATTAGAAAAGAGCCACATTCTATGGAAATATACGTATGTGATTAGATGTGATTAGGCGATTATTTAACGAAAAAGCATTTCAAGCAGACGTTGCTTGGCTACAGTTAGAAATTTCTTGAAATGATATAATCATTTATAAGCTTTTCAGCCTTAATGTCAGCACAGTTACTGGGTATAATTCCATATAAACTAAGCTTTAATTTTCTAATGATTTTTTTTCGAAATAACAATCTCTTGGTTGAAAAGGCGACGTGTCGTTTGTAGGCTGCCGATCGATAGTACTGTGTCAGTCACTGCTTTGTCCTCACCAAGCTTTAAAAGCGGTTAATATAACAGGTATATTTAGAGACAAGGGCAATGAGTACAGTAGGATTGATTCCTCTGTTAATTTAATAGCAATTTTATAACAATTGATGCCAAATGTTGTATGCAACAGCTTTTTAGATGTTCGTTTATTCTTATTTGGCGGAGAGGGTTTGCTCTGTTAAAAAGCGTGCTTACGCCAAAACTGTCTCTCTAAAACTGCTAATGACCAGTGTGATTACACCATTGCTAACACTGAAGAATCGCAGAAAAAGAGATTACAAAAATCAGAGAATTTGCACTGGAGATTTTAAGTACTCAACCGTTTCTGCGAAACAATCATCAAATTTTAACTGGATCATAAAATTGACTGCTGCATAACTTTAATTTATAGCAGAAAAATGCAATTCATATTTTACCAATTTTAGGTGCTTTCAATTTCTTGCCCACGTCTAAAAATCAGTCATTTAGATATGACCCAGTCTGGAAATTTCTCCTTGTTTACCTTGGATTGAGAATTCCTACACTTCTGTTTGCTCGAGTTTTGATTGCCAAGTTTATCTGTTCCTATCTTTCTATTGACTGTTTCCTTGCATAGGAATCACCGCTGTTAACAGATTACTGTTTTTTGCAGTTAAAAAATTATCATCCTGTCCCGCGCAATGCATAAAAGTCTTGTTTCGACGTGTTGTTGGATCGAACAACAGCTCCGAGGTTGGGTGTGACTTGGACAAGGTTTTCGTCGCAGGAACAAAGCATTGGCTACTGATTATTTAAGGGAGACCATTCCGCTACAGTCATTTACGATAGCTTTTGGTGTTTTATTCTACATTGCAGGGCACTGTGGGTAACTACCATTCGACATAGAGTATTTCTGGTTAGAATTAAGCAGGGTTTATAAGGTGCATACGAGAGTTCTCTTACTCTCAAGATGCACAGGAGCAATAATGAGAAACGGAGCTTAGAAGGCTTCTTATTATTAATATTGAATGAAACTCCAGTCATTCTTAATGCAACGGCCATCTTTTGATTTAACTGCTCTGTTTGTGCCGCAACAAACATGATTTCGGAAATTGCTTTCCTTTAAAATGGTGACTTCAGCATGCTTTTTAGTTGAATAATCATATTTATTATGATAATATCCATAATTTTTGTCTAATTCACTATATTTTTTGTAATTATCCTGTTAACGCAACATTGCAAAATTTCATTCCTCTATTTCTTCATCTAATCGCTAAACGTCATTAACGCTTGGAAATATAACAAAAACATTCTTATCATCAAGCCATAAATTCAAGATAAAATTTAAGTGCCAGTTCTGACTTTAGCTGAAAAGATTTTCATATTGAACTTGATATGTTTCACTGATATCGTATCCCGTGATTTCAAAGGCGCACGGAGAAAGCGAAATTATCTAGTTCTGATTTGTTATCATCACATCGTAACAAACGTTAAAGTACTAATTATAGCCCAAGCCCTAATGGCAAAAAATAATGGCCTTTAAGGAACCTACGGATAGCTGCTAGTGGACCATTTTCCCCTGCCCTTCAAAAACTTGAACTTATTGCTCTATCTTACTTATTAAGAGGTGTCCCCCATTCATTAAAGCATCTTTCCATTTGCAACATATAGATGATAATCGATTATAAAGATTCTATTTATTGGTGTAAAATCTAGAAAATAAAAAATTCATGGAATAAAACTTTTTTAATTAGAACCATTAGAGTTTGCTTACGTTTATATGAAACAATTGGCTGTCAACTCTCATAAACCTCCATTCAAAGAACTTTTAAATCATTACTGAATTTTCTTAATCAAAATTACAAGACATTCGATTCTATGCTCGTCATCAGTATTAAATTTGAAGTCATGAACTTACAAAGTGTGAAAGCTTCCTTCTAAAGTTTGCTTTCTTCTCGCTTCTAACGTTCAGATCAAACTGCGATTGAGATCAGCCACAAGAATCTTCCTTTGCCAGTTAAAAGTCAGCCAGCTAACATCTAAGGGTTGAAATCTTTAGAAAACGTCATCAGCCAAACTTTGGAGACAAATGCCAGCGAAAGAGGATTCACCTTGTGTTAGCGAATGCTTGCACCGATCTGACCCAAGAGTGGCTTTCAAGATTGGCTATTGGTCTTATATGGAAAGTACTATCACCTGCGTTTCGAGCAGATGGCATGCATACGATCTTTGAGCAAGTAGTTTTAATTTACAGAAGAATCGGCCTTGATATTCATACCTTTATTAATAATAGTGAATTTTAGAGCATTTGCCTTTAGTGTTTAAAAATATAAAGCAGAATTTCATAGAACATGTTGCCTAGATAAAAGAAATTTAATCTCAAAGTTGCAAGTTTTGATTGCTTGAATAGAATATATTCACAAGATCATAGAGTTTTAGTAGATCCTAGAGCGTTTTTGAATCAATAAAACGAATGACAAAGAACTTGTTTCTTGGTCTCAAACGCTCTACAAGACATGGGCTTTCTAGCTAGACACCTAATCATGGCGTCTGTCTACATCGTTTTGAGTGAATGAGTTAAGTTGGGAGAAATATGGCTGGCTCAGTAGCTGAGAATAAGGCCAATTATTGACACAGAAGTTGGTGATTCACTCAAGCAAAGAAGGAAAGCTTTTTGTGATTGTAGACCTGTTTTCCGTGGTTCGTGTAATTATTTTCTTCTAAAAATCTTAGTCTTTGCGTTTTATGAAAAGAAGTAGAAAAATAAATAGAGCTATATTTGAACAGCTTTTCACACAGAGGTTTTAGGCGAAAGTTAAAGTCATAATAAATATTATAAGATGAAGTTCTAAAATGAAGATTGACTGCAAAACAGGATAGATTGTTTGATGAAATGAATTCTGTTCTAATTAGAGTATAAAGTTGCCGACAAACGAGCAAGATCTTTAGTCTTGGAACCAGAAGGTTCGTGGGCGTAGTAAAAAGCAAGGGCATGCCCACCTAGAAACTTCAATCAGAGTTATTGAAATGGGATGTCGGTTAAAAACAAAAATCACTTTAAAAAATAAGCTAAGTTTTAAGAAAAGTAAAGAATCTTTCAAAAAATTCATCCAGCAATGTGCAGCTCGGAGACTTTTTATGTGTTCTGTATTCAAATGTCAAGTAACAATGAAGAAAGATTTTGAATCCTGCAACCCTTGACCATAAGAAAATTAGTCCCGCAATTATCCAGACCATTACAACGTCCTGGAACATAATTTGGTTTAGTAAGAATATAAAATAGATCATGTCTTTGAAAATCACTTGTATCTTTGCTCCATAAGTGATGCTTTATCTAAAGCGTGTTTAATTAGCAGGAAAAAAGCTACACAGAGACAAGTGTCGCATTTCCCATTAAATCCATATTGGCCGAGATGCATATTTAACATTCCTTTGTCACCCCTGTCATGCTGCAGGTTGATAGGGCTTTCGGATCAGATGCTTTTGAAGTCTATGATTATTAAGTAAATTGTTGAAAGGTGCAATCACGGCCTGAAAACCGTCAATATCTCTACTAAATGGTGGGCAATTGAATATTAGCTAAAGAAAAATAGCAATGGCCAAGATAAAGGACGAAGTTAAACTCAGCTACGATTAGATAGCAGTCGCATTTCTATGTTTTCCCTTTAGCCTTTGCCAATTGCTGAGAATTCTTTTTCTAAATAAAAACGCATACTTTACCTGTTTAGTATGACATTATATTTAATAAACAATATTTCTGGGTTTTTATGATTCTCTGATTACCTAAATATTGCTGATAAAATATTTTAGAAATTTGAAAAGAATACTGACTCATATCAGCTTATATCAGACTGAGAAGAAATTTGAACTACATTTGTTGATATAACAGAACGTAAAAATTGAGGCAAATGAAGCAATACAAAAATTCATCTGTTTGCAGGAAACTAGGCATTTAACATTAACAGTACCGTAAGAAGGATGGGTTTATTGGGGTCCATCAATGTTTGAGAACAAATGGGATTTAAGGTACATTGTTCTAGTCAGCCACGACTACGTCTAGATGGTAAGAACAGTCGTTCTGACCAATTATCTTAAAAATTACTGACATAAACACCTGATAATATGTTAATTTGACGAGCCTACATCTAAATGATAAGAGCAGTCAATCGTGACAATTTTGTTCAAAAGCAATGGCATTTTCACTGCTTTAACAGTACCGTAAGAAGGATGGGTTTATTGGGGTCCATCAATGTTTGAGAACAAATGGGATTTTTAGTTAAGTATTAAAAAGAAGAGTCCCTACAAAGATGCCTTGAGGAACAACACAACTGATCTGAATATAGTAAGATATATTGAAAATATGTGGGAAACAGCTATCAGTGGTTTTGAAATAAGTGTTTACACTGCTGACTAATTCTTCGATAAACTGATTTGTACGACGATATCACAAATCAGGAAAATCAGATTATGGCAGACCTCATCAACATCATATTTTGATTTTAAGAATGTTAAACGACGGTTCTTCTTTGATGTCATGTTTTTTGCTACCACTGACAATCTCTATCGAAGACAATAGAAATTCTTTCCTAAAGGACTCTACAAACAGCATTAAAGTGGTTTACCATTTAACGAATCCATATTGAAAATTCCACTAATTGAAAAGCTAATAGCATAGATTTCGAGATTTTTCATTTTATACAGTTTTACAAATATCTTTTTCATCAGCAGTTGGTGACAGTATTTGTAGCACAAATGTATAAAGTTAACGAACAAAGAAGGGAATGTCATTTGCAAACGACAAAGTCACAAAATTTCTAAAGAGTTAAGGAATGAATTATTCAACGAACAACCATATTGGAACCTTTTTTTAATCTGAACACAAAAAAGCCTGGCACCATTTTGTAAAAATCTCTGAATAATTCACTGCACAGAATTTGAGAGAAATCAAATTAAAATCAAATTTTATGAAGAAAGCTCGATTGATAAATATAGATTGTAATTACAGTATTTTTTGTACATTTCTTTTTTGTCATTTGTGATTCTGCAAGTCATGTTACTTTTGGCTTAAAATATTCACATTTTCATAGCCATAATAAAAAACCTCATTTAATTTTGTATTTATTTACCCTGCTACATTTTGGAATAAAAGCTAAATCTTCTTGACATATTATGCGGGCTTGCAACTGCAAATTCGTAAAAGTAATTTAGGCCAAGCTATAACGATAAATTTTTTGGCAATATCCAAAGAGTGCTGGAGTTTGGGGAAAAATGGAGCAAAACCCCGAAATTTGGGGAGACCTGTGATAGTTTCAGACAAACTCTAAGCTAAGGTATAAAAAAACCCTTAACCCTTTTTTAAGGATTATTGAAGAGCCCAGCACTTACTTCAACCCCTCTGTCTTAAGAAAAATGTTATACTAAAAATTCAAAATTTAATATAATAAATGCGTATTTTTTCCAACACCCCTCGCCAATCAAATGTTTGATTCGGCTACGAACCAACCATATTTCTTTAATACACCACCTCTTTGTTAATATCTCAGGCTAGCTATTATTTTTCACACTGTTGCTGAGAAGACAAGAACCGCTGGGCAGGGTCTTTCATTTGCACTGAACGTAACTGTAGTACTTCTGTGACCCATTTTGCGTAGACCTTGTGACACTAGAGATATCATTTCTGTTAAAATTGGAAAGCAATCGCAGCTCGAGATAGTCAATTGAAGATCTGGTTGGTAGTGAGTAATCAATTCGATTTGATCATTCGTTCAAACACTGGGCAAATGATTAATGTAATGAGGTGGAAAGTTGAAAATCCTACTGTAAAACAATCATTGTGGCACTATGAAAAACAGAAATATTAGCTGTGTTTTAACAATATGCAAAACTGCCAAGGAAACAGTGAATCAGTACTAAAGTAACACCTCATCAAAACTCATTAAAGAATATCTTTCTCGGACAATTACCATGACAACAATCTTATTTTTCGTAAGCTTACTGTCCAGGTGTCATAATCCCCTGTCTGGAATATCGCAAAATTCTATTTCTGGATAAGCATTTTTGATACTGTTTGCAGGGCCGTCGAGAGGCAGCTCGGGCCCGGGGAGACTAACAAAACTAGACCCCCTTAAGAAAATTTTCTGTGGCCACGCCCTTCAGTCTCCCGGAGAACAAAACGACCCCAAATGATCAGCATTAGGCCTAAGACAAAGAAGAAGAAAACCCATTTCCCAAGCAGTAGAATAAGCAATAAGCGAACGATCAAGTGTTGGATATAAGATTACAATAGAAACTTAAACATTACACCCGGGCACTTTTCAGTTAAGATGGCAGGGGGTTTTATCAAAATTGGTCATAATTTCAAATGAATAATAAAAAACTAAGAATTTGCACCACTTGCACCTCTGGTTTTTGAAAGAATAAGATATTTTTTCGAACAAACGACATCTCTTGTTTAAAGGGGTGCTTATTCGTTAGAGTGTTTTTTGCCATTAACATTATAATGTTTTGTTCTTCTTTTGTGTTTTTGTCTATCTATCAGTGTTATATAACCAATTCCTGCTATCAAAAAATTCATTTTACACTAGAAAAACGTCAATTTTGAATCCCTTGTTACTGCAAATTAATAATAAAAAGAAAGAAAGAGAGAGAGAGAGAGAGAGAGAGAGAGAGAGAGAGAGAGAGAGAGAGAGAGAGCGCTTTATATTGCAATAGTCAAGTTTGAAGGCCTTTAAGTTGAGAATAAAATCAGTCATTTTGTTATGCTTGAACTTGTGGGTTGTTCTATCTTTTTTCAAAAATTTCTTTCTCATTTCAACCACGAAAGCTATTGCTAAACATTTTTACTTGAATTCAATGCCCCGCCAAGTTTAAATACAAGGCGCGAGATCTGACCATCTTGCATTCATTTGTAAGAGCATAGCTCAGCAACGGATTTGTGATTGAATGAAGACCGGGGCATCTTAATCGAAAGCTTTGGAAGGAAAATCAACTGGCGACATATGTGCTTTAAGCATAACTTTGAATCTATTTTCCTTGCTATTCTTATTAAAATTTCAAGCCTTTCTGATATAATAATTATAAACAACGTTTGAAATGTCTTACCACAACAGGGGCGGTGCCAAGAAATTCAAAGTGAGGGGGGGACTCGAATTGATAGCTTTATTAGACTAAAGAACCATTTTTTGAAAATCGTACTTAAAAGCTTCGCGATATCTTATATGCCTTTTATGGGACAATCTTTATACTAGCGGTACATTGGAAGGGCCGGTGAGAAGTTTTCGGAGGCCCTAGGTATTTCTGAAAGAAGAGGCTTGCGGCCACGCTCTTTAGATAAGCTTAAAATACATTTCAAAATGTTTCTTGCAATCATTTTCTTGCAATCGTTTAAAACATTTTGCTATTTTCAAGGCATGCTTTTAGTACTTTTGATTAATTCCAGTCTTGAAATGGAATTCATTGCTTTATATGGCCCCATAGACCTCTCATTCCTTGAAATTAAGCAATAACAGGATTGATCGCACTAGTTTTATCTTCTATTCTTATTCTTCTTATCTTCTTAAAAACAATTTTTGCAAAAGAAGCCCCCTAGCTCCCCCCCTCTGGCACCGCCCATGCACAATCGATTGAGCATATTTTTTGGAAATTTGAATACTACTGACTTCATTAAATGCAGGTTTCTTTAAAGAAGTCTAGGGTTGGGAATTCGAACTGTGTTTGTAACGTATACAACTTTCAGTCCTGGTAAACTTCTTTTGTAATCTCTATTAGCCTCACATGATAGTCCTTTAGTCTTGATTCCTACCAAAGGATATCGACTGGTGAACCGTCCATTGTCTTTTTACTTAAAAGGGACAATGGGCCTATTGGTTGAAATTGATATCTTGCACCAGCAGATGACTTAAAACATCCGGGACGTCACTAGCGATTGCGGCGACAAGTCTGGAAATTTGCCTACGAAGCACTCCTACACTGCAAAAAAGCCCATTTTTTGAAACTGATTATTTTCTAAGGGGGTGTAACACTTAACGCTACATCGTAGTAATGGTCGTGTTGGACACTCTTCACCCTTTGAAAAATTTAAATCGATGATATTAATTTCAAGACACTGGAAATATTGAAAGTTGCGCTACGTTCAATTATACACCGCTTCCATATTGCTAGAGATTTTAGGAGTTTTTAGCAAAAGCTTTTTTTATTAAGCATTATATAGTTAGCATTCTATGGAGATTGACAGCTTCATCTACCATCTGTGGGTTCTTATAGGTTCAAGCCTATCACCATAATTAGCCTTTTTTAACCTTTCACAAAAATCTCAACGAAAAGCTGCCATGTTGAAAGACAAAGAATATTATTTAGGCACATAATGCATTCTAAAAAAACAAAAATAATTAACATAGGAAATAAAAAAGGATTGAGAAGCAGGCTCAAGAAGTTGCACATTATGTTTAGAGAAACAGACCATTAAGAAGTTAGTTATTAACTACATTTGAATATCAAAACACGCTATGATTAAGGAAAATTTTTCATTTAGAAATGATGGTAAAACCCAAAAGTGGCATCAAGACAATGCAAAATTTTAGGAGCCCCTTACTTTGAACGCTACCCTCTGGTCCTGGTTCATTTTGTACCCAATTGAAATATTAGCATGAAATCAAAGTTATAGTTTCATAGTTAATGTGTTTACAGTTCAATCAATAACCTTAAATAATAAAAAATTGTTTGGGAGGTTCAGCTGCAAAGATACATAAAACGATGGCGCTATTGCAGTATCTCCTGTTTAGCCATTTGCTTTCATATAATCCTGGTTTTGTGTTTTTTTTACTGTCTCTTAGGTATATGCATCCTTTCTAAAGCTTTCGTATAATTGTATTACAACGATAAGCAACTTCAAGACGGCACAAACAAGACAAGCAAAATGCATCATAATTTTTAATCATGTTTTAATTAGAATAATGCTATGTATTCAGCAATTTTGGGTCATCTTGTAGTTATTTTAGTATAAAAGGCTTATTCAAGATCAGAGAGGTGACAGAGAGTTTTGTGAATTTCTAATTTTTTAATTCTGGTATTAAAGGAAACTTTTGTTTTTAATTAGTTTCTATAAATACTCTCATGCATCTATTTTATTGAATAATTATATCAGGAATTGCATGCTTACCGCTACATTCATTAAAAAATTATGTTTTGCAGTGAAGTTAAAACAATGATGACCAATGCAACAAGTTTATGGAAAAAATGAGATTCATTAAAGTAAACCTTTTATCCATCATCCAATATATACAGCTATACAATTATGGCAATATGCCTTGTTGCTTTACAAATTAGCGTATTGAATTCGCAAATAAGGTGCATTTTTTAATTTTGGAACTTAAGGTGCAGTCAGTGGCGTAGCCAGAGTGGGAAGATTGGGGGGGAGGGGGGCAGAAGACCCCGCCCTCTAGAATACTGGAAAACGGCTCTTTTTAGATGGCTTATAATGAGCTATGCCATTTGTACATGTCAAAGTTTGGTTAATCAAACGTCACAACAAAAATATTTGCATCACAATTCCTCTTAAGTTTCAATTTCTAAATTTTGTCAGGCGAAAAATTTCTAGTTGAAAACAATATTTTATATATATATATCATAAGATAAATATACTGCGTTCAAAAGTTTCAAACCAAGTCCATTCTCCTAGGAGCAAAATCTGCAAAATCCTTCACAAGCATTTCTATATCTAAATCTTTGAGAAAATCTGATTCGACAGACATCGGCATGAGGTTTAGAGTCTCTCTTGCCCCATAGTGGATCTCAGTCGATTTTTTATTATTTTCAGCTTCGAAAATGCCCTTTTCGGCATTGTTTGGGAAAAGTGCCGTATTTTGTTAAAAGGCGCCCTGTCCAACCGGATTTCGATTGCCATTCAAATTTCGGATTGGTTTGACTATGCAAAGATCTATTCTTACATCCAATCGTCTGTCATAAAACGTCCCAGAGCCTATTGTTAACTCTTCATGGTAGACTGACAGAAACATGAGCGAAGATTTTCAAAAAACATATTGTTTTCTTTTTCTGTTGTTTCATCGTATGTTATTATTTTTTTTGCAAATGAAGCCTTGTTGCTCTTATTTATTTTTTTCATACCTCCCACCCCCCAAGGTACAAATTTTATTGCAGATTTGTACTTTTCTCAGGGACTAACTTTCTGAGCATTGGGGAAGGGGCGGTTGCCCCCTTGCCCCTTGCCCCCTTTGCCCCCTTTGCCCCCTTTGCTCTCTTTGCCCCCTTTGCTCCCTCGCTACGCTACTGGGTGCACTTAAGGTGCTTATTATCTTGATATGATTATTAATTGACTTGATAGCATTGTAAAATCAAGTGAGTCTCGCTAACTGGAAAACAAGTTATTACTTTTCAGTTCTACCGAGTAATCTGCTAGTTACAAGAATGATAGATAGAAATCGCTTTCAACTTTTATCCTAAGGACACACATTAATCTATAACCTTTGTCAAAGACCAAAATATAACTCTTTGTTTGGGAAGGGACAGCCCTGATAAATAAATGTAAAAACAGCCATGTTTTACGAAACTGCTTCGGTTTTTTGGGGACCCAAGGCCCCCCGGCCCCCCGGTATCTCGGTCCTTGACATTAGGTGCTTTTTATGATGCTCTGGTCAACATTATATAGATAGAACTTTTTCGTGTAAAATGATCGATGAAATGTGGCATAATGTGGAGCATCTTTTTTTAGTACTTTATGCTTCAGCCCACAGAAATCCTTTAAGGAGGGACTTTAGTTTGGAAAGCAAACCTTTGTTGTTGTAAAATTGAGCACAATTGTCTACACTCTTTTTTCACATGAACCAGTAAATTTAGCTTCAAGCTGACTGTTCTTAATCTTCTCGAAAATCTGAGGCTGCATTTTTCTAAACTTGTTCTTAAATTATAAGGGTGTAACTGTAAGCAGTGCAATTGCTAGTTTCTTCGCTCCAGGGAGGTGCTCATTTGTCCACCAAGTGAGTAAGACAACCTTCATTTGCCAACAAGGTTGAATATTCACCGAAAAAGTACCCACACGTGGCAAAAAATCCTCGTTCTTGAGATTAAACGTTGTTCAAAACTGTAGCTCAGCCTCAGCTTGTTCTTAATTTGTTTTTATCTTTTGACCAGTTTTGAGGCTCGTGTTCTTATAAAATAGTACTTTTGAAAAAAGAGTGTACTGTTTCAAACAAAGAAAGTTCACCTGGGCTTGACGAAAAATTGATCTCCCTTTAGAATATTAAAAAGGCCTCAGCGTTTTCCTGATTCCTACCCATAAAATGATACTTTTCAAAACAGTCAAGAATTCTAAAGCTAATCAAAGGCAACTTCCTTAGAGTAATGGTTTTCAAAAATAGTTTTAAAGGGTACTCTGTTATATCAATAAGCTTGATTTTGACAAAAGAAATTGTGGAACAAATGTTATACCGGAAGAAAGAAAACAGCACGCTGCCTCCAAGGGCGGATTTAAGCAAAAATGATTGGGGGGGGGGTGTTAGACAC